TAGTGCAGGTTTATGGACAATGTTCCATCAGAAATCCTCATAAAATAGAAGCAGTTGTTTATCTCTTTGAAACTAAGAAAAAAAGAAAAAGATTGTGAGTGCCATTGGCTTTTTACTCTCAATACTAGTCTAGAGCCTATTATTAGATATTGTCTCTTCCTCCGGCCTCCCAGTTTTATGTGAGCGAGTACACCTATCTGCCCTTTTAGACTCTCTTGTCTTGTTTTGTGTTGGTGAGTGGTCACAATATAATGAAAGAGTCAGTTTTAGGTCACCTAAATCAGCTTTACAACACCTAGCCTCGATGAGGGGAGCAGTGCAATCCCAACAACAGATCTCTGTATCTGCTGGCTGCAAACCTGCCTGGCTTCTCCAGTGGGTCTGATGCTCCATGGAGGGCACCACACTGCTAGAGCTGCCCTGGTATTCCTATCTGAATTACCTAAAAGCTGGTTGGGATATGCCTGGGCCACCTTCAGCATTGACACAGCCATAGGTATATTCTGAAAGCAGGTAATGCAGTCCCTTCTGCCAGGTACTGCTCTTGTCTGTGCACTTGCCACAGAAAGTGAAGTGTGGAGGAATGACCTGTCCATACTCCCTGGGGGGAGAAATGTTATCCCCATGATTTTGGGCACTGTGCAGTGTGAGTGCTCTAGGGACCAGGCACAAAGGACAGGACAAGGCTTTCCACATGCAAGGAGAAAGTGCAGTTATTCCCACAACCATGTTTGTATTTGAGGAGGTGTCTTCCATCCAACACAGTCCATAAGCCTCTGGTTATTTCTATCCACTACTGCCATCCAGGTGAGGTGAGGGTAGCCAGTTCTCAGCATTCTGGGTTGTTTCATCAATAGATGCTCTCAGAATACCAGAAGCTGAGATGTCTCATTTAGCACCTTAAAATTTTTTAGATAACTAAGCTTTTCCTTGCTGAGGGCTGAATGGGCCATCCAAATACATCTGGGTGGATAAATATTGATTTCCACCTTAGTTTTATGCCCATAAAGCTGGAATGGAGGATAAAGGCCTTTCTCAGGGAGGCAGGTTCTGTTACAGAAAAAGTTGGAAAAAATCAGACTCGTTATGGGAAAACAGCCATGAGCAATTTTCCTTCTGTATGCAGCAGTGAAATGCTAAGTGTTAGTACTTATGATAAATAGAGAACTGTTTTCTTCTTATCTCAGAAATTCACTTATAAAATTTGCAGTTAATTTCTAATTAGGTTGTTCAAACTATTACAATAATCTTGAGGAAGCAGCTATAGCATTTTTGTACCATGGCACAGCATTCTGTATACATCAGTCCAAATGATCCACTAAAGTATTATTAAAGCGATAGAATAAATTGCATTTACACAATATTAAATATACCTCAAAGAGTAACTGTGAAAATTGCTAGCATATACAGCTCATCTAACCTTGGAACTCAAATTGCTTTTCTAATTTGCTGCCCTAATCCTTAAACTGGACTTCTATAAAACTGTATTTCTGTGTTGAGGGGGAAGAAAAAAAGCACAGATCACAAACATTGACAAATATATTAAATTACATAGCAGAGAGAGAAATTATCATGTTAAAAAGACCGAGCTGGTAGAACTATACCTGACCATTGCAACAGAGAAATCACCATCATTTCCCATTATTGCTCTGTCAGAGGTTCCAGAGTCACAGCCTGCAGCTGGGGCCAGTCATTTGATGTATTTCCCTGCCTCTCGTGGCACATGCAGGCTGCAGAGTGTCAGCCAGGCTGCTGAAAAGCAACTCTGTCTCTCTGGCTACCCCAACATACCTGAGGATTGCTGGTTTACCTACCTGAGGTTGCCAGCAACCCGTTTGTGCAAGGGGCAAATTCCCCCCTCTGGCATTAATTTTGCCAGGGTGTTCTCTTTAATGCTTAGTAATGCCACTGGAAGTGTTGGTGTAATTTCACGGGTAGTGTAATTGCAACTTAACTTCGTGGCTGATCTCTTCAACAGATGGAAGCAGGGTGGGGGTGGTGATGAAACCCACAGGAAATGGGTGCTGCTGTAGGAAAATGCAGATGGAAAAAAGGAGACACATAAGAACAGAGAAATGGAAGAGAGGGAGAGAGAGAGAGATCAAGGAACCAGGGGGCCTGAGAAACACACAGCAGAGGGAGGATGCTCTGAATGACCACTTCTTCTGAATGACCACTTCTTTAGAGAAAACTAAATGTAAACTAAAAAGACTATGAATAATTTAATATAAATTACAGATACCAAATCCTTTAAGGGGGACATACACAAAAACATTTAGTATGGTGCTTGGGTTCTCTGGGACCCTTGCATTCAAGTGCCTGCTCCTCAGCAGACCTTTAGGCCATAATTAATGAGCCTTTAACTCATTCATGCTGTGGCCCTCATGTTTCCCAGAGCCTCCATGCTTGTAATGGCCAGTGGTAAACTGCAGGAACAGGACTCAGTCAGAATTTGCTATCTCAATACAGCCCTTCCACATATTTCTCATCAAATCCCTCAGGACCAGTTTCACAGAAATGCAGATTTACAGCATCTCAACAGATTCCTTGAGCCTGGGCAACTGAGCAACCTAGGTGTTGCAATGTTTTGCCTCTCTGAGGTAATGTGAGGATAAAACACAGATGCCAAGGAGAGGTCTTGGCACATCAGGCCCAGCACCATGCACCTGTGGGCATTCTGTTGCCAGGACCCAAGCTAAGGTCTCTACAGGAGATGGTTTTGCTCCACAAAATGCACCAGCACTCTGCTCTGCTCTGCTCCAGATTTGAGGGTGTGACAGGAATGCACCCTGAGCTGCTATGCCACTTTTATCCCAAATCTAGAGCAGGTGATGAATTTTTTGGTCAAGAACTTTTCTGCACAGATTCACGCCTCTAGAAGTGTAAAGAAGTTGGGAATGTCTGAGCAATCCTTAAAATTGAACCAAAGGGGGCATCAGGGAGGAGGAAAATTCAACTGAAGCTCAGCTGTCTGCATCCAGCATAGCCAGACCACAGGCAGGGATTTGCTCCTGCTTCCTATGGCAGCGGTTGGAGGAAGCATGGGTAACAATAACCTTGGCAGTCATTGCCTGCTCTGGGAAGTATTTTATTAATGTAGGTACACATTACACATTGCAAAAATGTTAGCAGAGTTGGAAAAGACAATAGTTCACATATGCTTGATTTGTGGACTATAAATACAGGTAAAGGGAAAGGAAGCCTAACAAACCAGTGCATCACAAAACAGTAACTGCAGATGGATTTCAAGGCTGAAGGCAAGCTTTTATGGTGGTGTTTTATGTATTGCCTATGAACACAAAGTGAGGATGAGAGGCACTGTACTTAATAAAGGGGTCCTTGATTATTTTAAGAAACTAGGCCTTCTTCTAGTTTTTTTCCCTCTACTTTGTTTCTGAATTCAGTGTATACAAGATCCTGAAAAGAAAGCAGTCCTGAGAATTTGAATTCATGTTCAGGGGGAAAATCTCACAGAATTTTTGTTTTATGAGTTCATTCATGCCAGTCCCATCCCAAGCACATCCTATTTCTGTGGCCTATAAACGAAAGACCGCGAAGAACTGAGATGAGTAAAACCTCTTTAGTGAGAGCCATTGCTCTAGTTTGTGTACTGATAGGTATAAAAACTATTTGTTGACATACTGTGTAAATATCAACTAAATAATTATTTTAATAAATGTGGAAGTAGGTAATTTTTCATTGAAATGTGATTAGTATTGTGATTTTTGTTCAAACTTGGGTCAGAAAACTTTAACTCAGGCCCCCTAAGTTTAATAATGTATTTATGGTCCCAAAAATGAGTGTTGTGGTTTCCACAGAGGACAGGTAGATCTGCTGTCAGTGGACTCAGCCAATATTGCAGCTCTCTGTTGAATTATCTTTGAAAATACATGTGCAAGTTTGAAAATTGCACTTAGAGCCATTTGTCCGAATGCATGTTACAGAAAACCCTTACAAGACTCCAGATTTTAGCTCAGAATTGCTGGCCACCTGTGCTTAGGCACAGGACCAGGGCATATGCGATTCCTAGCAGGGGAAATGGGGGAGGAAAAGGGAAAATGTCGAATTGGGGGGGTTTAGGTTGGACACGCGGAAGAGTTTCTTCGGAGAAAGGGAGATTAGACATTGGAATGGGCCGCCCAGGGAGGTGATGGTGGAGTCACCGTCCCTGGAGGTGTTTAAGGAAAGCCTGGATGTGGCACTCGGTGCCACGGTCTAGTTACACGGCGGTGGTCGGTCACGGCTTGGACTCGATGATCTCAGTGATCGTTCCCAACCTAATTGATTCTGTGAAATCTATTCTTTTCAACGACGCTACCAAGCGATGAAGCATCTCTAGCTTGCAGCGCGAGGTGGGAATTTTTCTGGACTGTGCTGGATACAGAGCGAGTCTCATTTGGTAACTCTGTGTGGGTGAGGCTTTCCGGAGCACAGCACAGAGACAGTGGCTCGAAACGCTGTAGCAAAGGCGCTCCGGGGGACCCGGCTGCCGCCCTGGGCCGGGGGCCGGGCACGGCGCGGCAGCAGCGGCGGCTCCGCGGGGCTGCGGGGCCGCTCCGGCCCTCACGCACTGCGGGCGGGGGGAGGGGTGCCCGCCTTCCCAGCCCAGAGTGTGCATGTCCGAGTGACGCATTGCAGGTACGAACCCACCAATCAGCGCCCTCCTTACGGAGTCCCCACACTCCTCGGCATTTTTTCCTAAAATCCTCTTCCGCCCAGAGAAATAGTCCCTAGCCCCGGTCCCCGCCCCCCTTCTCTCGGTGCCCCCCTTCCCCCCGCCGTTTCACAAGCGCTGCTTCCCCCAGTTTCCCGCACCTCGCTCCTTCCTGCGCCGGGGCTGTGGGGCAGAAGGAGCGGCACTCGGGGTGCGGGGTGCCCTGCGAGGAGAGCGCGCAGAGCCGGGACTCGTTTCGCAATCCACTTCACTGTCGGGGGAAGGGGAGGGGGAGGGAGCGGCGCGGAGCGATCCGGGCGGTGAGGCGGTTTATGAGGCGCCGCCGGCGGGCGGGCAGGACTCAGTGTGAGGCGAGCCGTGCAACGGGAAGGTCGCGCAGCGTGCGCCCCGTGCAGCCCTCAGCTCCCACCGCACCCCGCAGCCAGGCCGGGCCACCATGGTGAGTCCCTGGGCACGGGGCAGCTGCGGGGCTCGGCGGGCGCTGCTGCGGTGCAGAGCGGAGGGATGGGGGCGGCTGAGTTCGGTGCGGATGGGGGGCGGGGGGGAGGGGGGGGTTGGCTGCTGTGGGGCGAGGTCGCGGGCAGAAGGGTGTGGGGAGGGATGAAGCTGACCCTCGCCGCGGCCGGCGGGCTCAGGCTGGGGCGGAGGGTCCCGCTCGGAGGCGCCGTTTGCGTGGGAGGAAGTGGTGGTGGCGGCGGGTCCCGCCCGGGTCCCTTTCCCGCCCTGGGGCGTTGGTGTGGATTCAAATCCAAACGGCCCCTGGGTCGGCGGGAGCGCCGTGAGGCGGCGCCGGGCGTTGCCGGGGGGAGCGGCGGATAGCGGTCCCTCCTGGGAGGGGACCCGCAGGCTTGGGAGGAGGGGGGAAAGGAGCTTGCCACGATGGCACCAGCTCTGCTTTCTTATCGCTTCCTCCCTCCCTGCTCTCGGCGTGTGCGGCTGAATGAGGCAGCCTAAGCTGTCCGGCTCGCTAGCGAGGTGTGCTGCGCCTGGTCATAATAATGCACTGCGGAGCCCAGCAGCTTCTGAGCAGCATGATGATGAGGGGCAGGCTGTGCCTCACTGCACCATCGCCCTCCTCGCTAGACCTGTTGTCAGTTCGCGTTGGAGCCCCTGTCGATTCTGTGGTAGCGCCATGCTGTTGGTGGCTCTGTTGGATAAGAAACTATTTGTGTTCTTTTTTTTTTTTTTTTTTTAAAAGAAATTTTGCTTCCCGTTTTGGTCATTGCGGAGGACTGCGTTTTTAATATTACTAGCGAATTGTAATCCACTTCGAAATAGAACGCATTTTGTAAAATCGGAGAATAGTTTCAAATTCAGTCTAAAGGATGCGAGTTTAACGTTTGTTGGTTTTTTAAAATTAAAACAAGTGGATGCTGAGAAACGTGCTAAAAGGAGCAATTCTGTTGCTAAAGCAGCACCACTGACCACTTAGTGCTATCTCTGCATTAAGAGAAGATGCAGTAGAGTGGAATTGTCTTTTCATTCATTATATTCTTCTGAGGAATCAAATGACTGTCAGCTCATCACGTTTAATGTGAACGATGGCTACTTAAAATTTGGGGGTTTTTGAAATGCTGTCTCCGGGCAAAGAAATTTGGTGAATAGAAGCCTGAATTTATTCTTTTGCTTGAATTGTGAACTTAAACAGCAAACCATGCATAAAGCAGGGGGGGAAAAACGGCAATGAATGTAGTAACAAAAGACTTACTGCATTTAGTCATCATCTGTGCAGAACCAAAAATGGAGTATCTTCAAGCAAGGTCTGTGTAAAAATGGGTGTGTCCAGGAGGCACAGTGACACTTTGAATGTGGTTATAGTTCATCCCGACAGACCAAACTGGCTCAACCTGTGACTGTCCAGCGTTGCCCATACGAGATAAGACAGAATGATTCGCTCCCAAAACAAGCTAACCTACCATAAACCCGATTTTAGTCTATATAGTCTAGTCCGGTTGTCGTTCTTTAGTTAGAACAGAACAGAATTGTCCCTTCAGATGTGATGCCTGCGAAGCACACCGAGAGCCGATCTCGGGGGCAAGCGGTGTCACCTGCGCTGCCCTTTGCTGTAGCTCTGCGCTGGGCAGCGCTGTGCAGGAAGGAGCTCCCAGCCTGGTGACTGCACCGCAGCCATAGCGGCTCTAATGGAGCTCTACCTCTAGAGGCTGCGTGTGCCACAGAACCGGCCGCGCACACGGCAGCACAGGGCAGCTCCCCTGCTTTCCTGGGAGCTCTGGCTCCTTTGTCAGGCCCTCCGCACAGCCTGGGGCTGGGGGGATGGGAGCTATCGCAATGAAAATTCAAGTGCTGCAACGTGAATCGCAGAAAGCCGCGTCAAAGCTGCGATGGCATCAAATGAGGGTTTCGGGTGGCTCCCGGCCGCAGTTAAAGGCATGTCAGACCTTCAGCACGGGCACCTGACAGCCGGCGTTTAACGGGCTGCCTTGCACGGGGGAGGTGTGCACGCTGTCCCGCGTGTGCTGCACCCTTACCGACAACTCCGGGAGGCCCCTCCAGGAAGGCACGGCGGCCTGTAAGCGGCAGGCACGGCGGTTCCAGGCTGCTAGCCCTCCACCTGGGTGGCACGGGAGGCTGGGAGCTGGCAGGCTCGCTGGCTCCGCCTTTTGCCGCTGTTGCGCAGCAGTGCCTGCAGAGCCCAGCACTGCAGAGTACAGATGGTGTTTGTTCAACCTTGCCCCACCTCCCCGCTTATCTTTCAACTGCTTCATACCTGTGCCTTCTAATAAGCTTTGTGCTCTTCTCAAACACTGCACCTCTTACAGGTATTGTCAGAGCTCATCCAAATTCGTGGTTAGATGTCTTAAATTGCTGGAAGAGTTTATATTTCTAAAGAAGGAAGAGTTTGGGAATGCATAACAAGTTACATACTGCTATGTCATGTCTCCATATAAAATTGTTTATATAAAACAGTATGTGACTCAACTTGGTAACCCGCAAGTATTGACCTAAATAAATAAACTAGGTTCTTACTGCTTAAATCTGATCTACAGTTTTCTGTGGATATAAATATCTTAGGGAAATGTATCACATTCTCTTCACTTAAACAATTAAAATGTAAATGGCATGCAAAGGTATGAGTCTATGTTAATGATAGTCTGCAGACGGGTAAAAATCTGTTAGGCTTCTGTGAAGGGACCAGCAGAATACTTCCATCCCAAAGCTTAGTTTTGAATTGTTCTCAGCAATACTGCTGCCATGCCAGTCTTTTTTAACAAAAAGTGGAACCTGCATGGGCATACTTCCTGCAGCAGAGACGAATCTGTGGCTGCCAATACCCATTGTCTGCTGCTCTAGGAGTTCCTCAGCAGCCTGGTCTTCATTCTTAAAGCAGGTGAGCCCCAGCCCGTGTGTGGCCTTAATCTTGGGCTGTTGCTGCACTGTGTGCACAGAGGGTTTTGTAAAAAGTTCAGTGTTTGTACAACTGCTCAAGCAGCCACCTTCACTTCTGTTACAGGAAGAATAACCAGCAGCTGGGAACGTAAATGTTCCCATGCAGAATAAAAATGTAATTGAAATTGGCAAAGTAAAAATTGACAGGTATTGTAAACACATTTTTCTAAGTCTTTCCCTGACAGATGCTAATGTGGAGTGAGACTTTGGTGGGCATAGTTATGACAGAAAATTTTTCAGTCAATATTGCAGCAATAAAAAAGTTGCTGCTTAAATGGTCACATCAGGAAAGAAGCTGAAAAAACAGTGGTGTATTTCAGCAGTGAATATGTCTTTTCTGTATTTTAGTGGTGTTTATGCTTCAGTAAAGGGTTCAGGAAGTTTCCTTTAGGAGGAGGTGTGCTACCTTGTTACTGCAACTCAACTCAAGCTATCCAGAATTTGAAGAATCAGCTGATTTGAGCACCTAGGGAGAGTATTTCTACAGTCCTCAAACTGGTGTTCTTTCAAGAGCAAAGTTCATTTTGGGTTTGGCCTGAAAGATTGATGCTTTTCATTGCTATCAAATCTAATGAATTCAAAACTGGTGAGAGAGAAGAATGAGGTGTACACGGGAGCTTACCCAGCTGATGCAGAAGTTGTCTTAGACTGCAGAACCTTTCTCTGTTGTCCACGTTACCTTATGCTGACCAAGTCAATGGGCTGAAAAAAGCATAGACAGGCTGTATGCCACTGAAATGATGCATTTGGACTGGAGCTGGTGTCTTCTCTTTCACAGCCAGGTCTTGGACATAAAGTTTCATGTAAATCACGGGATGATTTAATTCTAGTGGAGAGTATGTTTTTCTGATTTAGCTAGTCTGCCTTAAATTTGGAGGTTACTGTTGCATTACTGAGACCTAAAGTGTTTTATGTTGAAGCTGAAGCTAGTAGTGTGCTGTGTAAATGAGTTTTTAAAACCAGTCTGTGGTTTTAAAGGGACCTGTGTGCCTTGAGCTTGCTAGCACTGCTTGGATTATTGATTGATTGATACACGTGGTAATCTATTACTCGAGTGTATGGGATATTGCAGGGTCTGGAGAGGACAAAAGGCTGCCAGTTCTTTCTTAGCAAGCAATCCTGATGACTTTTGAGCTTTATTAGAACTATTCTAGAATGCTGCAAATCAGTTCTGAAGAGCAACTACCATACTCAGAGGCCTCTACAAGTCTGTCTTATTTTGCCTTGAACTTTTGCTCCAGCTATAATCATATTCTCTTTTATTGCAGGCTGATCAACTGACAGAAGAGCAGATTGCAGGTGAGGTTTTCGTGTTGTGTTGCTACTCCTACTTGACCTGGCACATCTCCTAATCCAGTGACAGTCTGTGTTACACAAGATATTTAGCTTTCTTAGATACTAAAGTATTATGGTGGAATGTTTTAATTTGTCACCTAATTTTTAAAGGCTTATCTACTGTAAAAGCACCATGGATATAATGAATTCTAGTTGTGTAGTTAATATAGTTAAACAATCCTCACAGCTTTTCTGGCTTGTAGACTGGTAATTATTCTCTCATGACTACAAAATGTCCCAAGTGCAGACTGAAAGGGGGAGTGGGGCACAGGGGATGACAACAGATCTGGTGAAGGCTTGGAATCTGCAGTGCTTTTTTAACAGAAGGCAAAAATAATTTACTTTGCTGTCTCCTGTCAGCAGAGATGTTTGAGTGGCTCTTGTTGATGACAGCAGAGACTGGCTTCATGATGACAACTCTTGATATTCCATATTTGGAACTGAATTGTGTACTTGGACACTAGTGTTGTGTGTGTGCTGTTCTGATGGTCTGGCACTTGCTCTGAAATGCTTAAATAAATATGCATGTTATGTCTTGGTATTGGCCCCCTAGAAACAGGTTATGTGCACTGGCAGCCATTTACTAATGGCAACAGCTTAGGTTATTATGTTATTAATTAGGTTATTATGTCCTACCCATGCAGGCTGCACAAACTTACCTGCCTCATTGCTCTCAGTAGACTGATCGTCAGTAATAGGTGGGACTCAAAGCTGGTAATACAGAATTCAGCTTTGCCACAGATGTTCAAGAATGTCATGATTTTGATCTGACAAGTGTATAGTGTTAATACTGGAGAGCCTTGTGTGCATAACTGTCATGTGAAATTGCTTTAGAGGATGTTAGGGTTCTGCTGAGCTCGTAGTGCCAGGTCAGGCATACAAAGAACAGCCTCTGAGATACTCCTGTTTAGTTATGGTGTAGCTCTTGAAGACACTGTATTAAACAGAAGTGTTGTTATGAGCTGGTTTGTTTTTGCCATAATTGCCAAATCTGAAGTGTTAAGAACATTCTTCTGTAGCTTTTAGTCTTTAGAGGCTTGTTTTACTCAAAGGAGACTAATTATGGTTTTGTGGAAAGTCCTTAGTCTATTTACTTGTTGCCATGGTAGTGTCTTACAAGTAAGCACAAGCCAAATTTAGTTCAACTTCAGTTTGGTTTTTTTTTTTTTTTTTTGAAAACTGGCCTACATAGCATAAGGGTTTTGTGATCAGTTTAGTTAGAGCAGGCTTTATCAGTTGTCACTGCTGTCTTTCCAATAATGGTTCATTGTTCCAGTTGTTAATTGTCAAAGCTTTATTAGTTGATGTAGCTAATTATGGAATATAATCAGGAAGTTTATTAACACTACCTTGGGATTAGTGTAAACTTTAGCTATTCAGTAATGATCATGTACTCCTCTGAGGCAAAAGTAAATATTGATGAGCCTGTCATACAGGAATAGAGGCTCTCAACTGCATGGAAGGATTACAAGTATATCTTAGTAGCCAGTGTAAAAAGGCCTGCCACTTGCTGGGCAGCTGTGATGTTTTGTTAAGCAAATGTATTTGCAAGTAAGCCACGAACCTCAGTTGTGAAGACATAAGCCCACTGGTGGTGTGTGAAGGAATCATTCTCAGTACTGCTTAGGAAAGGTTGCATCTGCTTAGTTTTGCTGTTAGAGGCCAGTGGTTTTGCATGGGAAGACTCTTAGAGGTGCAGTTTAAATGTTTTACGGAGATTGGCTACAAGAACTTGAGGCACCACCACTCTAACTGAGCTTCCCTGGGGATCCATAGTGTTTGGTTTGAAGGCAGACAGAGGAAATGGTACTGCAAGGCAGAGGTGACATTTACATTGCCATTCCTAAAACAGAAAACCAGAGTACTTAAAGCAGCCACTTCCCCAGGACTTAAATTCTTCCCCCTCTGCTGTGAAGCATCACAGTGCAGTTGTTAAAGGTTCCAGATGGCATTTCCTGTGGAACATGCTGATCGTATCAGACTGAAGCTTCTTGTCATTGTAGGTAGGGATGAAAACCTTTCCAGATTTTGTTTATGTGAGAGACTGATACTGAAAGCCAATTAGCTACAGAATGGTCATAGTGGCTGCAGTTTCATTCAGCAAGAATTGAAGTTGCTAAGTCAAGTGGCTCTCCCTTTGGATAAGTGTTGTGTTACAAAGGTAATGGGGTCAGGACTACCTGGGTGGTCAGGTGGCAGAGCAGCCTGAAGATGCTTTTGTCCCAAAGCCAACTGGTCAAGTGAGCTATCCTTCCCTGGACTCCAGAGTTCTAAATGAGCTCTGTGTGCAAGCAGGCCTATGTATGGTGTTCACTGTCTTGTTTCTTTAGTGTGCTGTGGTTCTCTGTTGGGGATTTGGCCACAACAGAGATTGAAAATTTGTAGAAGTAGACATGTTTAAATGTTAAGGTCCTGGTAGCTGTGAAGAGAACAATTGACATTCTCCTATGAAAGTTCCAGACATAGCTGGCTAAACTGTGGAGCAGTGGATATGGCAGTCCTGGTTCACTGAACATGTTAGGTCACCGAAGGCTGCCACTTCATTTGGAAAAGTGATGTGGTGCACGGGTGCCTCAGAACTTATGGTTGGTTAAAAGAACATTCTGAGCTAGGTTCTTAGAGTTCACATTGTTGGATCAGCATGTCTTTCATGGGGCCTGGAAGCAGTCTTTCTCAGGATGCAGGATGCTTTCAGAAGGGTGGGTGGAAAGCTGAAACCTTGTAGCCTTAGCAGAGAGTTTTCATTTGCAGTTTGGTGTGGAATAAAGAGGATTTGCTTTACATGCTGTATGGAATCAAGGTGTTTAAGTGTGCATGGTATCTGTTTTATAACCTTATGTTGCAGGATGCCAGAATTGAGTTGCTCACTAAACTTCAGTATTTCGTTATCCTTCACTAGCCATGGCTGCAAATCCTCCAAAGCCTATGCCAGGTTGTTCTTGTTCAAGTCTAATTGCATCTGTGTATGTTGTCACTCCTTTGTTCTAATTACTGGAGGTGGTTCCTGGAAGTGGTTAGAGAGGTACTTTAATGGTATTCTTAACTTGATTCAGCATTTCAAGCAGGAATATGCTGCTAATCTTCAACTTGCTGTATTTTCTTGATGATTTATAGCTGGTTGCTTCTTAACCTATTGCAACTTCGAGTAAAAGAAGGGTAGAGTTGTCCTTGGAATGGTTCCTACCGAGTGTTGAGAATACACCACTAAAATGCCCATTTTACAGGAAGCAAGTCTTTGAGTTTTGTATATGAATGAAGTGTTGCCCTTTCTAAGTAGAGTCAGTGAAGTGCTGTGAAGTGTGCTTTAGGTTAGTGATGGTTGGCTTTCACATGAAGGATGAAGTGGTTAACAGGTAAACGTTTTGAATAACTCTCGAGCACTTGACTCTTCATGAGGATGCAGCTTTCCCTTTTTGAGGTTCTTCCATGATAGACTGTGAATGTCTCTACTAGGATTGAACCAAAAGCATTTCTTCCCTGGTATAGGAGCTTAGCCCTAAGAAATATGTTTGTTGCCTCCAAGATAACTGAAACTAGCCCCCCAAAGACCCTTTGGAAGGAATTGCAGGTATAGGTTGTATCTACTTGTTTCTGCTTTGTGATTTTTACATATTGTCTTGAAACTGTTTCTACTGGTCCTGTGGTAGCCTTGCTCTGATTCTCATGGGCTAAACAGGGGGGGTTGGCTGTTGGGACACTGCAGACTTAAATGTAGAAGAGTAGTGGGGTTTTTTCCCCTCTGTGGGGTTTGGCTGTGGGACTCTGGTATTGTAGCTGCATTCATGAACTATAAAAACCTATCTTTATAGTTGAACTTTTAATACTTGCCAGCTTGTACTCACCTCAAGAGTTTCAGAGTATGAAGTAAAGGCTTCATTGAGGTCATGTGAGAACACAACTTTTACTGTGACTAATTCTGGTCTGGGAAACCCACCATCTGGAAAGCTGGCTGCATGGAAATATTGAAAAAAACAATGATTGGAAATACTTCTGATGCAGGAGTACCCTTGAGCTGACAGGTTGTCCAGAGCCATGATCTCTCAGGTGGCTCAAAAGCTGTGCAGGGGACTGAAGTCTGCAAGGGAATAGACAAGATGCTCATGCTTAACTGTCATGTGTGTGTGAGCTTCCACAGTCCAGTGAGCTAGTTTAAGGTCTGTGGCCAAAGACAGATGGCATGGATTAAAACCAACTCCATTTTTGGACTGGACAATTAAACATGTTATGCTTGTATTAGTGTTCCTGGCTACAGTACAGCCATTGTAGGGGGTTAAGAGGTAGTGTTGAAACACGGCAAAGGAGTCTTAGAATTAGTCAGAAACATTTCTGTGAAGGCTGTTTCAGGATCCAGTAGGGCTGGAGCAGTTTTGTGAGCAGCTTTTCAGAATGAAGACTCCAGTGGCTTTCCTCCTGGAACAATTGTGGTAGCATACAATGTTCAGACATCTGTGTCCAGCGGAAGTGGTTTATATTGAGAAACTTGGGTGTAGTTTGGTCTGATAATACCTTTTTCCGTTGACTCATCTCCTCTATTAGTAATAAAAGTGCTGTTAAGCTGCAGCATATGTACCTTTAAAGTACCATTTTCAATTTTCTCATAGCAATTCCATATTGGTTTATTTTGAGATGCAATTCCTACCAGGGATGTGGATCATTGTAGTTGCAGACAGCTATTTCAGCTCCATATTAGGAGCCCTTATTCAAGATAGACGGTAACAAACATCTGAGTCTTTTGGAAATGGATGACCTTCCATCGTAATTTAGGTCAACATGTGGTTCATCAGTAGACTGGGTGTGTTTTCAGATGCTGATGTTGCCATATTGCCATTGCAATTATAGCAGGCTGAGCAGTATACCAAAGTTTTCTTAGATTGAAATCAAATTTTGTAACTTGCAGCAATCAGTAGCAGTGAATTTTTTGATTGTTAACATTTCAAAGCTTAAGGGATTAACTTTTTTTTTTGGTACAGAATTCAAAGAAGCTTTTTCACTATTTGACAAGGATGGTGATGGTACTATAACTACAAAGGAGTTGGGGACAGTGATGAGATCACTTGGTCAGAACCCCACAGAAGCAGAGCTACAGGATATGATCAATGAAGTAGATGCTGATGGTAAGAACTTTACTGATAAGTAATTCAATAAAGTGCCTAAACCATGTTTTTCTAACAAAGATTTTTCAACCTTTCAGGCAATGGCACAATTGACTTTCCAGAGTTTCTGACAATGATGGCAAGAAAAATGAAAGATACAGATAGTGAAGAAGAAATTAGAGAAGCGTTCCGCGTCTTTGACAAGGTACTGTAATGTCTACCTGGAATATTTCTGTTAAGAAAACTTGGTCTGCTTGTAATGTGCTTTCTCACAGACCTGAGGAGTATCTGCAGTCCTGTCACAGAGCCTCTAGGCTGGCCAGTCACCCTAAAGCTCAGTCTACTCTGGTGGTATGGGAAAGTCAGATGAGTTGTCAGGATAGTAATAAGTGACACAATTTAAAGTACTGCTTGCTGTGATACTGAAATACTTCCAGATGACTGGCAGGAAATTGTTTCAAGTATTTAAAATGTTACTGTTGTAAGTCTTTTATTTAGCAAAGACTACATAAATTGCTAAAAGAATCTAAAGTTACTCAGCTTACTTAAGATGCACCTTGGAGCTGAAAACATGATGTGAAGTGCCTTGTGGTTTGGGGAGGAACACATCAGTTAAGTTAGTGTACACCAGCACTTCAATATTCAGTGTCCCAACTATACTGGGATATGTACAAGTTATCTCTGAAGTCCTTGTGGCTTTATGCTGGACTCCCATGAAACAGGCAAATCAGATAAGTAGCTTCTGTTCTAAGAAATCACCACTTGAACCACAGTCACGTGATTTAATAGGCATCCATCACCTAAGAAGTTGCAGAAGGTGCTGATTGCATTGTTCATGGTTTAAAAATGTCAGAATAGGACAGTCAAAGGCTATAAGATAATATTACAATGCCCAAAGACATTGGACAATGCTGGAGATATGCTTACAGCTCTCATGTAGCTTGTGCAAATGCTGGTGGTTAAGGCTGTGTTAACTACTTAATGCTCAATTTGCTCTGCAATGTTCTTAAGTTATAGTTAAGTCATTAGGCCTTAGGCAAGTATATTCCAGTGTTCCTTTTTCTCCTCCCAGGATGGTAATGGTTACATTAGTGCTGCAGAACTCCGTCATGTGATGACAAATCTGGGGGAGAAGCTAACAGATGAAGAAGTTGATGAAATGATTAGGGAAGCAGACATTGATGGTGATGGTCAAGTAAACTATGAAGGTAAGGAGTTTTTAATTGATTCTTTTTGTGTAGCACTTGTCATGCTTGTTCTTGTGCGGGTGCTGTTAGCCACCCCTTGTTTAAGTAGGGCAGTGTTCAGACAAGTTCATCTGAACACACAGTGTTCCTTTAAGCTAATCTTCAATTAGTATGTACATTGTGTACCTCTCAATGAGTCTAAGTGTTATTGCTGCCTTTGTGCCAAAGGCAAAAAAGGGCTATTTGGTTGTACAGGGTAAGAATTGACTTTGTAAATCTAATGAGGTCTAATGACCATTAGAATAAGCAAGTTATCAAGAGATGTTAATGTACTGTTCATACTGTTCTGTTAACTAATGCATGTTGACCTGACTGTAGGATGTCACTCATTTGTCATCAATGCTTTTAAAATTACTTGCTGATCAAAAGGGGAAGCCTCTAAAACATGCAGAAATTCCAAGATCTTCAGAAGATACTTTAAATACATTTACGTAAATCAGCTACGACAGTAATTTCTTTCTATTTCTTCCTGACATTGAACTGTAAATGAAGTCATGCAAGCAGGAGTTCCTTTAGACAGTTTGCAGCTGAGACACACTAAGCTTGTTTTTGACTTTTTGAATATGTTACAGAAAATATCTAGGGTACTTTCAGATAATACTGTGCTGTTTCTGAGGTGTAGGTATGCCTTCCCTTTGAGGCCTTTTTCATTGTGGCCTAAGGGTACACAGACATCTGTGAGTGAAAAGTAATTTTTATGTACAAGGCTGCTTCATCACTGTTTGACTAGGCTGTTCAGAGACTGGCACTGGAGAGTGTCTGTGTCCCTGTTGTTTCCAGTTGCTCTTTCAAAACTTGAGCAACCAGTTAACTCCAAACTTTTAGGTTCTGGGTTTCCTGTCATTATTGTACCTGAAACTATGTGTCAGCAAGATGAATGTAGAATCCTATTTTGTGGGTTCTAACTTGAAATAGTTTATGACTAAGCATTGAATCAGTTGGTTAAAGCCAGCCAGGCAAAATGAAATAGTAAGGCTTAACTATTCCACTCTGGAAAATAAAAGTTCAAACCAACACAAAGTTTGCCTGTACAGTTACTTAGTTGATTGTCACTTCAGTGTGATTTGTAGGGATTTTTTAGTCATTCTTGGATCTCTTGTCCCCATCTGTAAGTCTGTGGGTGTAGGACCCTGTAATGTTTTATCTTGGAAGTAAGGCTGTTCTCCAGTTCACTGAGGGACCAACTTTTATGGAAAAATAAAGACCTTTTGCCATTAAAAATAGGAGGAGTTTAGGTGTGATTACTGGGAAAGAGGACTGTCTTGAAGATGCTTTTTTGAATGTAACTGAAAATGCAGTTTTGAAATAATGTTCAGCACTAGTAAGGCCACTTCTCAGATCTTGCAATTCAGATTTTTTTCCTTCAAATAACCTATGCAACTCTTTCCTTTTACAGAGTTTGTACAAATGATGACAGCGAAGTGAAGACGTTGTACAGAATGTGTTAAATTTCTTGTACAAAATTGTTTATTTGCCTTTTCTCTGTTTGTAACTTATCTGTAAAAGGTTTTTCCCTTACTGTCAAAAGATTATGCATGTATAGTAATTAGAAGGCCATTCCTCCATGTTTTTCTCCTTTATCTTACTGTCATTGTTCTGATTTTTGGAAAATTGATCTAAGTAACAAATGTTGCATGTGGCTTACTCTGGATATTTAAGCCCTTCTGCACATCTAAAGTTAGATGAAGTTGGTTAACTGAGGGAACATCTGGATTGTCTATTAAAAAGTAGCTTTCTCTAGGAAACTTAGGTATGACTAGTGTGACAAGTTACATAAAGTAAGCCAGGGTTTACCGTGCATTAGCTGATCCTTAGTTAAAGCAACATACTGGTTCTAGTTCTCGAGTACATAGGAGTTTTTCCTATAGGAGCTTTTACCCCTTTCTGTGATGGGAGGATAAGGACTCTTGCAGCTTAACTGCAGGATAAAATGAAGTGAATAGCATTTATCATATGGCTAATGCACTGTAAAAGTCATTCTCCTAGCTTACTTCACAGTAACTTGTTTGTGGCCATACCTGTAACATGTTGTTGAAATGTGGAGTCTTAACGTTGTAGACGATTGACAGTCAACAATATGAAACTTAAGTTGCACTAATGCAAAACGGGTGATTTATCCAGGTACTCGTACACAAGGTTTTTTTGTACTGCTGGTCCTGTGCCAGAAAACATTTTCTCCTCTTGTTACTATGCTTTTTAAACTTTGTTTAGCCACTTATTTTCAAAAAAATCTGCTTATGGCACGATTTGCCTCAAATCCATTCCAAGTTGTATATTTGTTTTCCAATAAAAAATTACAATTTACCCATACTGTTTCAATGTATCCTTGAATTATTTACAGGAATTGTTCAATGCAGTTGCTGCTCTGTGTTTCAGTATGTAGCAGTTTGGTTTGCTTATGCAATGGATTGGCTGTCTTAAAATAGCTTGGAAGGTGAAAACTTAGTCCTTAAACTCTGGCCCTTAATAGTATTGTTGACTTGAAGAAGCTTTCTTACTAGTAGTTTAAAATGTATTTTACAGTCTTGTGTGGAGCTTGGTGCTTCAATAAACTTACCGTAGTGACTGGCTATGCCCACTATCTGTAGACATTGTGAACTGGATGTTGACCTAGTTCAATAGTTGACCTAAAATTAAAATTCCTTGTTCGGACAACTAAACCTGTTTGCTTTCTTTTAATTATTTTGGAGTTTATTCCCTGTCAGTTGCTACATTGGGGTAACTTAGTCTCACACTTGGGCTTTTCTGAAACTGCCATGTCTGAGTTGCCGTTCAGAATGCAGTCAGCTCAAAGTACAGAAGGAAACATTCTCTTCCTCATTTGTTATTGAGCATGACTGTGCTTCTAGCACTAGTTTTCTGTCAAGGTTTAATTTTTTTTAAAGTGGAAGACAAACCTGGTTTCTACCAAGGATGAATCCAAGAACTCAAAAGAATGCCAGAGGCTGCTCATGCCCCTTGCTTCTCTACTCTCCTGGCAACAACTGCCTTGACTGTACATGTGCAGTATGGTTATCTTGTCTGGGGATTCTGCTGGCCTTTAAACAAAGCATTGGCCCCTGCCTCTGGGTACCACTCAGTGCTCCCAGCTGAGCAGTTACCTAACGTTTTAAAACTGTTCCAATCATCTTTGATGTATTTATAAATGCAGTGAGCATCTAAAATTAGGACAGCTGTTCAATCCAAATTCAGGAGCACTTAATCAAGTGTTTATGGTCACTGATCTTAAAGCTCTGCTCTCTGAGGACTATGAACAGCTCTGTTGGCTTTCAGAGAAGGCTTTTCAAAAGTGGTTTGATAGTCAGCATCGGAATTCCTTACAACTGCTGTTTGTGTGCTGGCAGTCTGATTCAGGAAGCTTATGCAGTCTAAATTTCCTGGCAGTTAGGATTTGCCTTCTAGAAAATAAGTGATCAAACTGACACTTCCTACCCAGTCTTCATCCTGTGCTTCTAAGAGCTTGGGGCAAGACATCCTTAGGATTGCACAGGTTGAGGGGAGTTTTCCAGAAGCATCAGAACAACCACTTGAGATTCTGAGTTGCTGGAGTATTGGATGTCCCATTTTTATAGGTAAGTAATGCAAACAGGGATCTGACAAGAATTTTTGGTTTAGCCAGTCTGGTGCCTTGATTTTCAGTAGGTTGGGAATCACAACGCATTCAGTCTTCTGCTACAGCTCAGCATGCACGTGGAAACATCTAAGGTGAAAAGGGGAAGATGTCCAATGGAATATCACAATTAGAAGGGGGACCCACAAGGATGATGAAAGACTGCCTTAGCCAAGAGAATGGCCTTTGTCAAGATGAATGTGTGAGAAGGCCACATTTATTTACAGTCATTTTAGCTGTTCCCTGCTTGGGGTATTCTAGTGTCAGGAATCAAAGCTTCTGGTTTTGTTAGGGTGAGTGTCCATGTTGCTGTTATGTAAATGAAATGCCTGATTTCTAGGTCAGTAACTGAAGTCTTACTGCCCTGTTTACTTAATTCTTTAACTGCAGGATGGGAGTGGTAGATTTCAGTACTTTCTGCTAATGGAAGAATGTTTTCTAACAGTAAGTCAAGTGTGGTAGAAGCTAATGGCATGGGTCACGAACCTTTTGGCTGAGGTGTGCTTGCAGGTGCTTTTGCAATTGTGAAACAGGCCTTTGGTCACTAGGCAGTTTTCTGGATGTTTGTGTAGGAACACTCTGACATTTCAAGTTCAGCTTCTGATAGCTTTACAAGTGACAATCCATCATCCTGTCAAATAGTGTGGAGGTTCTCATGTTCTGTTCCAGCTAAAACAAAAGCCTTTGTGGCACAACTGTGCAGTAAAACAGCTGGTGGTGTTTTGGTCCAAGCTGGACATCGAGGTGGGAGATCTTGGGCCCGAAGACTTCTCCCTGTGTAGGCCTAGGGGGATATTCTACTGATCCCTGAAAGGAGGGAATGAAGACAGCCGGATTAATCTTAGTTGCATCACCGGCAAGGGGAGATGGGCATAGATTTGAAAATACTCTCTGAACAGGACAAAACACTTATTTTACAGGAAGTGGTAAAACACAATGTGGAATCTGTGCAGATTCAAAACCCTGCTGATGCTGTGCTGGGCAAATGTCTTCAGCAGCTCCTGCTTTGAGCAGGGAGTTGGGCTAGGTGATCTCAAGGGATTTGTGCCAAGCTAAATGTTTCCCACAAGTGCTCCTGCTAGCTTCCTAGGCTTACTGTTGTGTCCAACCCTACCTTCATCTGGGGACCCTTCCAATGAAAAGAGGATCCACAGTTGCATGCCACAGCCTGGTAAGTTTTAGAGTCAGTCTCTAACACTCCCTAGTAGCGTTAGGAATCACCAGGCAGGAGTAAGACACTACCTCAGGGTTGTAGGTAAGCCATCCTGAAAAAGCTGCTCATAATCACTTGTGGCTGCGGAGTTTTGATGGGGGAAGTGCATGGCTGGATGAGTAATAGTAGTAGCTGGTCAATTTGCAGCCTGTCAGGATAGCATTTAATAAATTATTGATAGCTAATGGCTAAAGGAGAAGGTTAGTGAGGATTAAGGGCCTGCTAATAAGATCAGTCTTATTATTTGGGTGATACTATAGCTTAGAAGGTAGACAAGCAGGTAATGCAGGAGTGCAGCTGCTGGCCCTGCTGCAGGCAATGCACCCTGGGTGTTCTGGGCTCTCAGGGCTAAGGCAGCTGTGTCTGCTGCTCTGGCAGAGTGGGCTGCTCTCAGAAATTGTTCACCAACAACCTGGGCACCACGAGTAATAAATTTACTGCTTTCCTGCATTTGTTTATGTCACTTCTGGGACTATATAGTGTCTATTGGACGCAGTCCAGTTAAGAGAAAAACTGGTTTGCTAACTGTTGAGTAACTAAGGGGAGTTTCCATAAACTCCTTGCTGGCCATTTCCAGTGGTGGTGGGTGGGAAATACTAGAGACACTTGAAGATTTCTCCTTCAAATACTGCTCTTAAAAATGGCTTTTCTATGAAAGTCTTCATGCTGTAATAGACAATTAAGGGAGTTTAACTCAGTTTTTTAAATCAGATTTCTCAGTTTAAAACATTCAGCTCTGCAAAACTCCTGTAAAATTGAGTCTTGAAAAGTAATCTTTTTTTACCAATGAGAATAGTAGGTATTTGAGATGGCAATGTATATTGATATTCTGGGGGATGCAATGTGAGTATAAAGAAAAAAAAATGTCATCTTAACCAAAAGGGACAATTCTGAAATTTGTGTACTACAATTTATACCTATGCTTCACAGAACCTTGGAAAGGAGGTTGAATTGTCTTTGGGACAGAGAAAGAGATGACAGAGAATTTGAGAGTTCTCTTTTCTATTTATAACTCCCTTTATAATTTAGTACATATTTGTGATTGGAATGAGGAGAACTAGCTTATATCTGCTCCAGTTTCTGGCTTTGGAAAAAAAGTTCTCTCCTACAAGAATAGATGGCTTGTCAGGTTATCTATTTACTCTGTTTTTGAAGAATTCAGTTGTTGATAGCTGTGTATACACTAAAAAAGAAGGGGTTTTAGGACTTACACTAAGTTTGTGAAGAAAATACAGAAATTACTGGAGTAGCCATGAGGACCTTAGTTGTCCAGTATCCTCTAAGGGCAAGTCTGATGTCCTAGTGTCACCTTTGGATGATGTAAAATAGCATATTGAAATGGTTGATTCCCTTCTACCTGCTCCTTAGAAGAATAATTCCTATCTGTTTTCAAATATTAACTATGGAGAAGAGAGCATTTATTTCAGTGTCCTGAACTTGGGAGTCCTGAGATACAGTTCAAGAGATTGTGCAAAGATCAACTGGGACACCTTTGACACCGAAGATTCAGTAAAGATGACTTAAGCAGCAATAGCCTAAAGATGAGGTGTATTCCCTGCACAGCTTGGGTGATGTGACACAATAGCTCCTGATGACATTATTGAGAGGTTCAGCTTCAAGCTGGTGAAGAATGGGCCTGCTTTTTACTGGGTGCTCTATGTCTGCAGAGTAGCAGATACTTCCTGCTCCAAGATCCTGCCATTCAAACAGGATATCATGCAGCGTTCTGCAGCGATTGCACACTGGTACTTGGCTTCAGGAGGAGCTGAACAGAAAATTATAGTGAAAAAAAAGTGATGGAAAAGAAAGGGGATGAAAGAATATAAAATTAGGAGAATAGCAGGAGAGGAAGACAAAAGTTTGATGCAAATGTCTAATAATTGGTGCAAGATGAATCCACCACTATTTTCTGAATAATAGCAACACTCTAGGGCTGGAACCCCTGCCTTGTTCCTGCAGGGTCTTCTCAAATGGCAAGAGTGGTAGCTGGGTTTATACATTTCTAATGGGCCCCAAAGTTGGAATTTAGATTGAAATAGAGACTTTAGATTGTTCCAATTGCATAAGCTTCATCTTGCAGATCAGACCTTTGGGTAGGCATGTACTTGCTCAGGAGTTAAACTTCCCTATTAGTAAACCAGTACTTTTATCAGTAGTAATTGACACCCCGAGCAGCAAACAATACCAACACTCCATTCAGTACCTCTCCCTTAAGTCATTTAGGTATCACCATCTTGTGCTGGCTGGTTCCTTGTGACAAGGCAACCCCTCAGAGGTCAGACAGATATTTCCCTTCCCTCTAGGTCTGACAGGCTTGAAATTTGGACAGTTGCTGACTGTATCATCACTACAGCACATCCCTGGTCCTGCAGTACCTTCTTAAAAGGCACATGCTTTTTTGGCAGCCAGAAAAGTGCTACTAATGGCTCTTGAGAAGGAATTTTTGCCAGCTTTTTATGTGTCTGGAATGGCAGAGAAGTCGTCTCT